GAGCAGAGGCCAGGCCAAGAGTGAGGCAAGCAGCAGAAGCTGAGAAGAAGCTGTGTGTGATAGTTAGATAACCTGTTGTCAATTTGAGACTTCAGATTGAAGGGGTGGAGCTTAGCCTGTCAATCAGGTCGTAGCTTGATGACCTCATTTGGAGGTGCTAAGGAGACAAGAAGCTTGCTGGAGGTGGCACACATGCTCACTCCCTGAGAGACTCTCTAGTGACATGGGGCTATACTGATGCAGAGAGCCCTGGACCTGGAGGAGCCATGTGGAGACCCACACCAGCACTGAGATGCTTCCACTGTCACTGGACCTACAAGACTATCCACTCAGTGGTCTGTGATCTTCCTGCATTCAGCATCATTGCATGTGTTTTGTGAGCCTGAAGAAGACTTTATGGATTGGTATCAGACATATGGGCTAATATCAGGCTTAGGGACTTGATCTGGACTGGGCTGGGGTGTTTTCTCAAAATTCAATTGCTCTTGTATATCAAGCTCTTTCTTACACACATATGCGTGTCTATGAATTTGTTTCTCTGGTCTACCCGGACTAGCACACTGTGTTAATTGAAAGATTGTGTTCTGAATAGTTTGGGTACTTCCCAGTGGATCCTGATCTTGCATTGCATCTTGTTACTTCCCAAGAGAAGCCCCATCACGGTGAGTATTGTCTGTGAGATTTGGGTGGCTGTTGCAATGAGTTATCAAACTCAGAGGAGGCATGGACTGCTGTAAGGGTGCGGCTGGTATCAGAATTTCTTTGAAAGACTGGAGAGAAGAGGCATGTCTGACCCTTACCTCCTATCAATCAGCCTCGGGCCCATGCTGATCTTGTTTCTCCCTCTTCCCCTTGTGAAACTAGATGAGGTCTGACGCCACCCCATTTTTCACAGTCCCATGGTTCAATCTGTAGAATTGAATCCCTCTCTTTTCCAGTATTTAGCCTGGTGCTTCCCTTTCCCTCCACTGCACAAAGTTTCCCCACATCAGAATCCTTTGGGGCGTCTAGTTTCTCCAGAGAATACACCATTTTTTCAGCTGTGACATGACTGTGTGAGATTGCAGAGCCAATTGGAGTTCTATCCACCCAGTAAGTAGACTTTCCATTGATTCCTCTTTCCATCATGAAGCCTCATTACCAGTCTCCTCAAGGCCTGGGGCAACCGAGATGACTTGGACTTGGAGGGGTGGTGGGGAGGGGTCAGTTTATTGAATCCAACTGGATTTTCATCAACCCTCCTATCACTTCCTCCCCTTCCACAGTCAGTCCAGGTACCACCGTGTTTATCTGGAATCTCTATAGGAAGGCGAAACAATTCTGGGAGCAAGGAAAACACAAAACTCATCATTTATCCTGCAACACAGAAACCCTCAGACACTAAAAACCAACTCATGCTAATCTCATGTGTGTCAGAGTAGATTTGTGCTCTGCCAGGTTTCCAATGACTTATTTCTCAGAAGCTGATCACCATGACCAGGCACCAAATGAATCTCCCAAACCAGACTCCCGGAGCCCAGACTGCTTCTAGGAGATCCTCACAAGACCCATCTATATTCTCCTGGGATGAAGCTGTTGAATGTTTTGGTCACAACAAAGCAAGATAAACCTGGGTCCGGGTAGGATTAGGGACTCCTTCAGACAATGCTTTTGTCGCAAAAGATCCCCAAACACTCCTTGTCATACTTGGGGGAAGAAAGCATGACAGCTACGTAGACTTTCCTTGAGTTTCTCCATATACTAGACCCGTTTTCCTTTTTTACTACACCCCACAAATTATCCCAATATTCTAGGAGGTGGGGGGAAATTGATTCTGCTCTAACTCTCTCTCTCTCTCTCTCTCTCTCACACACACACACACACACACACACACACACACACAAACGGTTAAACAAACAAGTGAGGGCATACTTTCTACAAAGAGCACAATGAAAACAAATCAGAAGAATTTCAGGAGTATTGATCGGGGTAAAGGGAAGGAAATCCAGGGCTGAAATTTCCTGGAAGAGAGCATTTAGCCCACAGGGTCTTACACTTGCAACACAGATGTAGGGCCCCGTGATGGAACCCGGAGTGCACAGCGTCAGTTGATGGGAGAAATGGACACCTGCGATTGTATGTTGGGTAGCGTCTCAGAGCACATGAATAGGTTGACATTTTGCTAATCAAAAAAGAGTCGGAGATAGTAAACACCTTTAAAAATCTAAAAACATTCCAGAAGAACATTTTAAACAGCATCCCCATCTTAACAAGGAACAATGAAAATATAGCATGCTGTTGACTCAGTGCCATTGAGCCATTTATGACTTATGGCGACCCTGTAGGATGGAAAGAATTGCCCCGGGGGATTGTGAGGCTGTAACTCTTTCTCACTGCCATCGAGTCAATGCTGACTCATAGCAACCCACTGTGGGTGCCCAAGACTGTAACTGTTTACAGGAGTAGAAATCCCAGTCTTTCTCTAAAGGAGCTGCTGACGCTTTAGAACTGCTGACTATATGCACCACAGCCCAACACATAACCACTACAACACCAGAGCTCTGGCACAGTGCTATAGCTAGGCTTGCTTTCTACCAGGTACCCTTTTCAAAACAGTTTGTGTTTTGAGCAGGGCTGTCTATTTATATAACTTGCTTCCCAGAGGCCCCATCATGAAGCAGGAATTGAGAGGCTGAGAGCTTTGGTGCTGAGCAGGCATCAGGAAATGTTAAGAAGCCCTGCTGGGCAAGGAGGGCAGCATCAAGGGCAGGGCTAACAGGAGAGAGCAGGCCCAGAGTGCACAGCCCTTGCCTTGTGGCCACAACATTGAACTTTGTCATCTCCTTCCTCGTTAGGGTTGCCCTGGGTCAGGTCAAGCCACATCTCGGTGCAGCAGCTACACGCTCCGCTGTCACTGCTAACTTTGCAGGAGTGACTCTTGCTTTTCATGACCCAGAATCAGTGGCAGGGGAGGGAAGTGCAACTATCAGAGGAGTGGCAGGCAGCTCCCACTGGTCACTGGTTAGAGCCCTTGGGCTGGTTGCTGTTGCCAGGGGAGGAGGTCGGGTGGTCCTCTCACCAGTGTCCACAAGGGCACCTTTAGAAGTGTGCTTTGCTCCCGCCCTGCTCCACCTGCTGGGTCCAGAGTCGCAAGCTGGGGGAGGGGAGTGTTCATGGAGACCTCGGCAGGGAAGCACCACCCCTCCCCTGTGCCTCCAGTTGAGTCTATGTAGGCATGGTGTGTCCTGGGAACTTCCCTGAGCAGCAGACTTCCTTCTGCTGATGGCACGGCTCCTGCAGCTCATCCTAAGTGCTTTTCCTTGTGGTTCTTGGCACCTGTGCAGATACTGAAAAGTTGAATCCTGACGCTAAAGTCCTGGGCTGGGCGCCCCACGCCACAGTGATCAAGAATAACAGTGGTTCCAGCGTGGGTCGGCCGTGGCTCTCCGTGAACCCTGTAGCAGCCTGGGATGATCAAGTCCAGACCCAGACCCAGACAGATAGAGTCTCTAGACACAGACTGACTTGTAATCTTTTGCGCTTTTTAAAAGAAACACTTAAGATAAATAACCTAGTAGAAAGACGGATAAATGATATGTATTGTCAGTTCACCAACACAAATAACAGATAGCTAATAAAATATGAGACAGAGCCCCAGTAAAATGATTTAAAATATGCATATATATGAGACGGCATTTTAACATACTGCCAGCATTTGAGTGTGGTTACAACATTCTTTGTTATATGAGTATAGAGTGGCGTACTAAAATTTCCCCAAAATCTCATATTCGCACTGGTTTTTCCAAAGCCAACAAATGCCTTTCCCCTGAACAATCAGTCATCTTATTTCCCCCTTTAGAATTGCACATTGAGATAGGGCCCTACTTGGAGATAAAAATGAGCTGAGAAGAGTCCAAATAGATTGACATCTTTAGTTCCACTGCCTGTTTTCTTTGACTCCTATTATTCGTGGTGTGATTTATTTTTGGTATTGAGTTCATGCGAATTTCTCTGGCTGTCAATGTAATTACTGATGTCATTTGACATTGAAGGTTTTAGATGGTCTTAATTAGCATTTCTATATTTGAAATCAGGATAATATCACAATTAAAACTAAAGTTTCAAAAGTTAAAAAGTGCAGGTTAGCACTCCACATATCCCTTTCTTACCAACATTTCAGATACAACTGCCATTGCTAGCTTCTCTCGGGAGTGGTGTTCAAATGATTCCAGTATTCCAGAACGAATCGTTTGGTCTGTGCTCTTCCCTAGAAAGGATAGTAGAAACCAGCAGAACTTTAAAATGCCAGCACGTGAAGTCTTGACAAGGAAGTGTCATTCATTCACCTGCACATTGTATCTCCTTCTTACTATCAGCTTACTTGAGGAGGGGGCCACAAAGAATCAGAGTTCTCTCTCATCCACATGCCACGTCCCTGATGGTACCCAAACCCAGCAGAGCTATTTTAAGACCTTTGTCGACCAGAGTCATCTTACCTTTGAAGCACCGCCATGTTCTTACCAACTCTACTATGATGCACCCATATCATAGACAGTTATTGATAGCTATTTTATCTCAGGCATTGCTATAGATACTTGAAATATAGGCGTGAACAAAGTGAAAACCCCATTTTTGTTCTAACTTTATTTTTCTGTAATTTACATAAAGCTAAGGAGAAGCTGGGTGGAAATGAATCTGGTATCATTGAAGGGTTCCACGGTGTTCTGTGAGAATCTCCCATTCATCCGGCAAGGTTCCACTACGCCAGAGTAACTAATAACCCTAAAAGTCTGAGTTGTCTAACGTAACAGGTAATCCCTGACTCATACCACATGCCCAGGGCAGGCTGGTGAGGCGCTCCTGTCCATGCCGTCACCCAGAAGCCCAGACCTGAGGAGGCGCACTGCCTTACAGCTGCCCCCGGGAGAACATAAGACTTTGCACTGTCTCCACATGTTTCTGACCTCCTACTAAGCTCATGGGCACTTGCTGAAACTTAATCACATTGTTTCTGTTGTCAGATGTCATGGTGCCAGTTCCGACGCCTAACCACAACAGAACCGACACTGCCCGGTCCTGGCTACCCTCACCATGGTCGCTCTGGGGAGTTCAAGAGGGGTGCACGCGGTGACTGCGGCAATGGACTGACGCCGAAGAACCATGGTGTGTATGACACAGGATCAGACGGTGCTTCCTTCTGTCGTGCTTATGGTCGCTGTGTCCCTAGAGTTGGAACTGACTCCGTGCCACCGTGGCAACCCCTCCCTCCGAGGGTCTTCCTCTTTTTCACTGCCTTCTCCTTTACCCAGCGTGATGCCCTCTCCCAGGAACTGGCCTCTCCTGGTCCTAGACCAAGGTAGATGAGCGGAAGTCTTGTACCTTGTGTTCTAGGTAGCGTTCTAGCTATACGTCTTCCAGGATATATTGCTAGTCCCAAGGCCTGCCCTAATTGTAGGGGAACTTGGAAAGGGAGGAGAGCGCTGGGGAGGCTTGCGAGCAGTAAAAATCCGTGCGACGACACAGTTTTGGTGTTCGTTGGTTTTTATTTGGTGGCTTTCTTTTTATATTTTAATGACACTGCATGTTTTTTTTCAAGTCTCAAAATTTGAATGGAGAATAAGTAAGCTGTGAACACTGTGCCTATCATGATAATGAATTACATTGACTGAACACTGATTAGATGCTAGACACTGTTTGGGATGCTACATAGGTGTGCCTAAACATGCCACTCACTTGTTTTCCATAACTCTATGAAATAGGTACTATTCTTGTGGGACAGCTGCAGCCATCACAGCTGGAATTGACAGCTAAGGAGACAAAGGCCCTGTAAAGGTATGTCCACTGTGCACGCAGACAGACACACAGCGCCACACAGGTGGGTGCTCATGCACACACATACCTCAGCACAGGAGTACACAAAAGCACAGTGCATCTCCACACAGGCACCCGGGCGAATATGTACCTGGATCCAGATACACACACCTCCACACAGGTGCACCTGCAGAAGGCTTGTCTGGACGCCTCCCATGCCCTCAAGCCAGTCTGGAGCTAGGGGCGGGGCAGGAAAAGAGAGGGCAGCAGGGATGGGCTCCAGAAAGATTTCTTTTCTCAGGATTCTCAGCTGGGAAGACACAGTCCGCAGATTGACCCCCTCAGAGGCGGCCAAGGCTTCTGGACTCTCTAAGCCAAAGAACCATGGCCAGTGTGGGAAGGCTGTCCCGCCTCCATCAGGTGGGGTGGTTCTGTTTGGCAACCATGTAATGTAGTGGCCAGTGCTGACCAGTCCACTGCTGACGGGGGTGGGGGTGGTGGGGGGTGGGGGGGAAGGTCCATGCTTACATCTTGGTGATGTGGAGCTTAGAGCTTGGGTCCTGGGCCCCACCCTCCTTGTTTACAGGAGCGAGTGGAGGGGCCCTAGCTAGTTCCCTCCCCTGGAGACCCCTGATTTGTCTACTCTGCCCCTGCAGGGCCCCACATGGCTTTCACAGCCTCGTCCAGTCACCCTGAGCCATTGCTTTCATCTGAGAGATCCTCTTCCATCATGGGCTATTGCTGTACACTTTTTAAAAATCCATAAGTCCATATTTCCCTCCCGTGGAGTCCTTTCATTGCCCCTCCCCAGCCCTCGACTTGGGACCTGTAGCTTATTTGTCGGGATTGCCAGAGGTGTCTGTCCATTTGTTCTCAGGTGGTCGTGTGGTTTTCTTTAAGAAAATGACTGGTGTCGATAAGAGATTAGAGCTCACAACACTTGCAACCCAGGAGCAGGAATGGGAAGAGAGATACCAGATGGGAGGGGCGAAGGGAGGAGGAGAGGGGGAAGGGGGAACCAATCACAATGATCGACACGCAACAACACACAACCCTCCAGGGGGGAAACCATGGGAAAAGGGAGACAGTAGTTGGTGTGAGACATGAAAATAATAATGGACTTTATTCTAATTAACAAATCATTCCTCTATCACAGTGGTCCTCAACCTTCCTAATGCTGCAACCCTTTAAAACAGTTCCTCATGTTGTGGTGACCCCATATGTGGGCGTATCTGTATGTGGGTGTATCTGTATGTGGGCAAACCCTCCTGGAGATGGATAGAGGATCAGTGTCTCGGATCCTAAGACCATCGGAAATATGATCTTAGGCGACCCCTGTAGAAGGATCGCTCGACCCCCAAAGGGGTCGTGACCCACAGGTTGAGAACTGCTGCTCTATCACATGGTGACATGCCAGAAATAAGCAAATAAATCAATGTAAGTCAACTCTTCAAAGTCACACAGCAAGTAAATGGCACCCCTAGAGTTTGTCCCCCTAGTTATGCTGATGTCAAGGCATTTAGGGACAATCAGTCCATGGGGCGTGTGCTGTTTCTCTTTTCTGCCCATGCCAGCACTTACGGTAACAATAGCGAATGTGGGGTGAAGAGAGGGTGGGAAAGCGAGACACTTCCTGCCTGTGTGAGTCCTGGTTGACTAGAGAAACAAATCCAGAGACACTCCACTCGTGTGTGGATAAGAAGGAGCTTTCTAAAAAGAGCAATTATATATTGAGAAAACATCCCAGCCCAGTCCAAATCAAATCCGTAAGTCCAGTTTTAGCCCATAGGTCTGATACCAGTCTATAAATTCCTCTTCAGACTCACGCAGCCATGCAATGATGCTGAGTGCAGGAAGGTCACAGGCCAGTGGGTGGAAAGTCTTCTGGATCCAGTGGTGGTGGAAGCATCTCAGCACTGGCATGGGCGTCGATGTGGCTCCTTCAGCTTTAGGGCTAGCTGGGATCACCATGGCTCCATCTGGCTTGTCTACAGGAATGTCTCCCAGAGAGAGTGTCTCCCGCCTACTGAGAGGAAGACAGGAGTTCCCAGAATCTTCAGGAGAAGGCCAGGCCCATACCAAGGCATCATTGGCTGTGGCCTGATTGACAGGCTAGACTCCACCCCTTCGCTCACGTTGACAGGAGATTATATCACCGCCACACTGCCCAATTCAAGAGCAGTCATGAGCAGTTCTCCTGTTCTCTGGCTATGCTGCTACCCAGCACAGTGCATTAAAGACATAAGAGAGATTGGGGGGAAAAAAAAGAAGTAGGCCTATCCCTGAAAAGTTTAAGATTGCAAGACCCACCTGAAAGGTCTGCATCTATCATGAATGTTCTCAAACCACATGTGTATAAATCACTCATAATGTGCATTCAGATGACCTATGAAATAGAAACATTCCGTAAATGGCCTCTCAAAATTGACCTTGCACCTGTAGAATGTGAAAAAAGAAAATGTAACTTCACTAAAAAACTATAAATTGGTAAATTGGCCTTGAGGCATAAATGAGTCTTAAACACCCTCCTTAATCTCTGACTTTTAAAAAGAGATGTAACACACTAATGTTTGATAGCTATGATATTGGCTGGCTATTAACAAATGACTCCACCTAAGAAAATCGCATAGAAACCCTCAATGAAAGAAAGCAGAGGAAAAAATCTCTCTCTCTAGACTCTAAAGAGCACTGGTGGTGTACTGGTTACACGTTGGGCTGCAATCTGCATGGTCAACAGTTTGAAACCACCCTGAGCTCCAAGGGAGAAAGACTGGGCTTTTCTACTCCCTTATACAAGGACAGTCTCGGAACCCCACAGGACATTGCTGAGCCAGCATTGACTGGTGGCAGTGAGTTTGGTTTCTTTTTGTTTTTGAAACTCTGATACTCCACAAAGATGTGTTCTGCCAGGTAAAAAAGCTTGGAGTCTGTCTGCTACTGCCAACCTTCCTCCTAGCAACGAGAAACCTCTGCCCAGTATGAGCCACGGTGGTCAAGACCTCCTCCTGTGGCTTCTTATTAAAGGGACCTGCCTGAAGTCTAAAGATTTGAACCTTGTATGATAGTTACATAATAGTATGTCAACTTGGAGATGGATAAAAGTGTAGGGGTGGCATCCAGACTATCAATCAGAGATGTGGCCTTCTCATAAGGAGAGCTCTGGCGCTTGCTTGCTCACTCGCTCTCTCTCACTCTCGCTCCACTTTTCTGCTAGCTGGCCACCTTGAGAGCTGCCAGAGCCCTGCCATATTTCCACCAAACTTGGATCTACATGACTTTGCAGCCACCAGCCTGTTGTCTTCCTGCATTCTGCATCACTGCATGTGGCTGCATGAGTCTGAAGTGGGACTTATGGACTAGTATTGGACTTAGGGACTTGAGTTGGACTGGGCTTGGATGTTTTCCTGATATACAATTACTTCTTGATATAAAGTTCTTTCTTTTCTTTTTTTAAATCACTTTATTAGGGGTTCATACAACTCCTATCACAATCCATACATACATCAACTGTGAAAAGCACATCTATACATTCACTGCCCTCACCACTCTCAAAACACTTGCTCTCCACCTAAGCCCCTGGCATCAGCTCCTCATTTCCCCCCTCCTCCCACACTCTCCCCTCCCCCATGAACCCACGATAATTTATAAATTATCATTTTGTCTTTTCTTACACTGTCTGCCGTCTCCCCTCACCCACCCCTCTGCCTTCTGTCCCCACCCCCGGAGGAAGCTACATGTAAATCTTTGTAATCGGTTCCCCCTTTCCACCCTACCCTCCCTCCACCCTCTCAGTATCTCCACTCTCCCCACTGGTCCTGAAGGGATCATCCGCCCTGGATTCCCTGTGTTTCCAGTTCCCACCTGCACCAGTGTACATTCTCAGGTCTAGCCAGATTTGCAAGGTAGAATTGGGATCATGGTAGTGTGGGGGAGGAAGCATTTAGGAACTAGAGGAAAGTTGTATGTTTCATCGTTGCTACACTGTACCCTGACTGGCCCACCTCCTCCCCTCGATCGCTCCACAAGGGGACGTCCAATTGCTCACAGATGGGCCTTGGGTCTCCACCCCGCACTCCCCCTCACCCACAGTGATATGATTTTTGTTCTGATGATGCCTGATACCCGATCCCCTTGACACCTTGTGATCACACAGGCTGGCGTGGCTACTGCATGCGGGCCCTGCCAACCCCGAGCCATTTACCCTCAAGCTTTTAAGACCCCAGACACTATATCTTTTGATAGGCGGGCATCACCAGACCTCCCCACCACATCTGCCCATGCACCCACCTGTCTCCAGCGATCGCATCAGGGAGGCGAGCACACAATGTTACGATCCATTGTTCCCGATGCCCGACAACCGATGCCCTCGGCACCTCGTGATCACACAGGCTGGTGTGCTTCTTCCATGCGGCCCTGTTGCTTCTGAGCTAGATGGCCGCCTGTCCACCCTCAAGCCATAAAGTTCTTTCTTATGCATCTATGAGTGTCACTGGATTTGTTTCTCTAGTCAACTCGGCCTAACACACTTTTTAATGTCTTGTTTCTCTACTCCTAATGGAATGCCTCATGGCCTTATTTATATGTCTTACCCTGATATCATGCAATAAACTAAATGAGTTTACACATTTGTTTTATTTTTAAATCATTTTATTTATTGACAAACTTGTTTTTAAATAAAATCCCACAGGATAGCCCCACAGTCCGCATTCTGATCAAATGGAATTAAACAGTTCCTGAGCCAGTGCTATGCCAATGGAATTACATGTTTTTCCCTAAAGACCCTTACACTGTGATTAAACAATGGGAGCTATTATACAAATAGGAAAACGACAACACGGCAGCGATTTTCTGTGCCAGAAACAAATATAATGCAACCAACTGACTCAAGATGTTGATTTACCCAAGCCTGGCAATTACACATCTCCAGAACGTCCATGACTCAGCACCTCGTTCACAGGGACTATTGTGTAGCTGCAGGTCTGCATTCAGTGTTTCGCCAAGAAGGGCAAACAAGAAGAGAC